GTGTAAATGACGTTGGGTGGTCAAAAACAAATCACTCTGCTCAACATGCGTCCGCAGTGTGCTATCTACTTAATGTTGCTAATATCTTGTCGGTTTGCTGGCTGACTTTTGCAAACAGTCCAAACCACCTGGCCGACCCGACATATCCTAACTTTTAGGTATATACCTTCCATCATTTGGCACGTCTCAAGCACTTAGGTGTCGATTCATTCAATTAGTTAAGCAATTCGGTTTCAGACGTTTCGTCAACAATCCTAGCTGGCATTCCAGGCAGTTCGATGAGTCGTAGCCATTTTATTTGCATGCACTAGTTCGAAGAAGAGCCAGTATACACGGGAACAATATTTTGGATACATATATATAATTCAATTAATGCATATTTTCCATCTCCATTTGCCTTCGACTAGCCCTCATCTTATCTGCCTCAATGTCGGTAATTATTGTAATCATCGCGCCGGATCCGACTCATTTTAACCGTAGGATCTTACCTGTTTAACTGTAGCCATAGTTTTTGTGCTTCCTCTTATTTAGCTTGTGATTTCCAATTAAATTTCAGCCGAGCTCGGTTTTTCTTGGTATCTATTTACCCATTTGGGTATTGTACAGTAAGTCCAATATGATGGGACCACACTACGTAATGCAGCAGACGCGCACCTCCATTGCCGTCTCAAAAAGACTCGGGCAGTTCCCTCAGTCGGCAGATTGTGTTTGAACGCTAATGCGCACACGACTGCGCCTGCGTTTGTCGCACCACAATTGCACGTAGAGCCATCGCACCTGCCCACACATCAAAAGGAAGAGCGAAATCGATGGCTCCGTATGAAATTGTGCGTGTAACAAACGCAGGCGCAGTCGTGCGCGCATTAGCGGCCAGGCGCAATTTGCCGATTGCATGGAGGAGAAACGGAGGGAACAGCTCAGGTTTTGTATAGACGCGCTGTGTGCAGTTTTGCTGGTGCGAGGCTTTTGGATTACGGGGTGTGGCCCCATCACATCAGGCATACTGTACGCCTAAATGAAGCTTCCAGCTAATGCGCCCGTTTCCTGCACTCACTGATTACACGGATTGATTAACTTGACGCTTTATCCCCCTTCCAGCTGTTTAGACAATGCGCAGGTGACATAATCATGGCGTTTCGTTACCATCCGTTTTTTCGGCTTATGTTTTACACTTCTTTGGCTCAGCATTCCATATTTTGATGTGAAAACGCTGCGCTGCGTTGTCCTTTCTGGCATTATCTAATGAGTCCTCTCTTGTAACTTCTGGTTTCGATAGGTGATATTTGCCTTTTTTCACGCATCTGTTCCGTTCTACACTCTGAAACGTGGTCTGAATAAACACTGTTCAAATTCGCCACCTTGCCGCCGGGGTCAATCGTCGGGTATACTGCGACTATAATTGATGCTGTACTGCAGGCAAATATATACATGCTGGAGCATTCACGATTTTTATGCCGGAAAATAATTTGGAGCACAGCAGTAACCTGTGCCGATGTTTCGCTGTCACTCAAACTCAAGTGGTTGTACGCTAGCTGAAATGCTGTTAAAGCACCTAAGCCGGCAGCAGCGGAGACCTGAACACGGGGCACAACATTTGCTGCTGATAACTTCGCGTATGTATTTTCGCACTATCCTGGAAGAACTGTGCCGCGCTGAGGGGCGATGGATCCAGTTGCCTTGACAAGTGTCGCGCTAGTAAAAGTTATTCAAAAGTGAACAAAAATCGAATTCACCAAATGGAATATCCAAGTATAGGAAGTCAGTTGGATTGTGCCTCGCACCGTCGAGGAATAAAACCTTTATTTATTTACTTTATTTATAAAGCGCAACCGACTCTCTGCCCTTCCAGCGATGTGGCTAATCTTGAAGACCTGATCCGGCAAGACCATATACACCGGCTCGATCCAGAAGCCATCAATAGTGCTTCGGTACGCTGCAGCAAAGCTCCTTTGCCTCTCAACTACTACCAGTCGCGCTTGGGCTAAGAATACTGCGATGGTCGCCCGGCCCACTACGCGGGCTCGAACCAGTGACAGCCGGGTTGCGAGGCAGACGCCTCGTCCATTCGGCCAGGGGCCGATATGCTTCACGCCCTGGTCATGTCACTGACGGGTGATCTCCGGGTTTTATTCAGGTAGACGCAGTTCGATATAACGCAAAGTACTTGTAGCCTGGATTGGTCGTTTAGTTGTTGTGTGGTTCGCTGAGCTGGGCAGTTTACTCGAAGATATTTTGCCACCCGTCGAGGTGATTTCATCTGTGCAGACAAGTTAGCGATTTGGCTACACATATTGGTAGCAGACAAATCCAGTCGCTGATCACAAAGCTGAGGAGAAATTGGGTGTTATGTTTACTCTGAAGCACTTTACTTGTATAAAATTCAAAGGAGAGTTTCCCGTATGCCCTTGGATTTGTAATAAGGAAATCCTAGACTGGCGAACAACTTCTCAAGTACGTTCACCAAAAGTAGACACTGCTGTGAACAGGTGCTATCATTGGGATCAAACATAGTCTTCTTATCTATAAACGCTGACATTGTTCTTAGGACTTGTGACATTCAGTCACGTCGCGAAGAATAAAAACGTGATGACTGAGTTGCTCTTCAAAGTGTAGCAATGTGACTGAGGGTGAATCAGTTGAAGTGTTTCCTAGTTACTGTTTCTCCCATGGAATCGCGCCCGTCAGGCAAACTGGAGCGGTTCTCGTGTAATCCAAGTAGCGCTTTTCTCCTCCATCTCACGTGCCTTTACCACCCATTATCACTCACAGTCAATTCTCAAAATATCTTACGGAGTGTTACCGCGTAGGACCATCCTCCTTGTTTTTTCCAGACTAGTCGAATTTCTATATTTCCACCCACTATTCTGTCGAGTCAAGCTAGGAGGACAAACAACCTCGGATGCGCAAGGTAGATGCGATTCCAGTTCGCCTCCGGTTTGTGTACGTCACACATCAGTGGGAGCTGATGTTGCAACTAAGAGTGATGTTTCTCTCGGGTTAAAAACACAGGTAACGAGCAAACACCTTCGATGTTGAGCAATTTACTGAAGCTGGATGGGTAAGCACCTGGCAAGTACGCACGATGGCATGATCAGAATCGGTCCGGAGCGTCACGTAGGTTTTTCGCACTGATGTTTTATGATCGATGGACCGACATCAGATCGCGAGTTTGCTCAATCTTGAGTACAGTTCGTGCTTCTTCAATGCTGCGGCTGTGATGAGGCAGCGGAATTAGCTAACGAATACTCTTAACTGACACCGTCAAGGACCATCGTTTCGTCGCGATGACCGAAGTGTTGCCTCGGTCTAGTTTCAAGTTGGCTGTCTTTGGCGAGGCTTTCAGCATCACCTCACATTGCGGCTCAATTGGGGCACGAAACACTGATGAACTATTGTTGTTAATGATAAAATTCTACATTAGCATGATTTCTCTTCTTTCAAACAAACTAATGTTGTTTCGCCCTAAAGTTTTCAAATTTCTGATGCGCTACTGAAAGAGCATCTATGAGTCCAACATGCTTATAACATCGGTGTCATCCTTTCGAGGACAAATGAACACGTGTTGAAAGTGCTACATAAAATGAATTTAGTTTTGCCCGCAACAAACGTTTACTGCTACTGACCTGTTTGCAAAGCGGTTCCTCGCTGAAGCGAATTAATGCGCGTTACTGGGTAGACGAGTACAGGTATCCTTACTAATTGTGCGCGATGCCGCTTTGTTAAAATGAACGCGAGTGGGACAGTCATTTCTGCATGAAAATCGTAATGACTTCGTTCTACTTGCCGCCACATAGGGCAACAGTTACTTTTTTTAATATTCGAGCACTAATTTGAAATGAATGGGGTTTTGTGGCGATAACACCATTTCTTTACCCACACATTTTATTTCCAATTCATGTAGCAAGTTTCGAGTAGGTGTAATGGCACGTGAGTTCCGGTAAGGCACGGCTGAAGTAGTCCAACGCACCGTTCAAACGGCTGATGACATTCGTATTTGCAGGAAAAATGTTATGTGTTTATCCTGATAAGTGGGATTATTCGCAGCATTTCCCAAGTTAGACAATCCTCCACTTGACCGGAAGGAGTTTACGAAAGGCAGGTACGTACCAACAAGTTATTTCACACATGTTCAAAATTGAATAACGTTTAACTGTTTAGTGAATTATTCTGCAGATCATTCTGTTACTTGATGCACCTAATGGAAGCGGCATGTTAGGTTTCCTTAATATAATATCGGTTGGACGGTTTCACGATGAAACTGGAGCATTTTCTAGTTAACAGATAATGTTCCACACCTTAACTTTGCCATCTTTACACCAAGGAAAGTACTGCATGTCTTTGGGAGAGAAGTGACACTTGCATGCCAGTTTGTATATAAGCGATAAGTCAAAGTGTTCCTTCTTCCGATTGGGGCAAAACCCATCTATGTTAAATAGGATGTGACCTTTTCACGTTACCGGAGCTTGGTTAATGTCCTGCAGCTGTGTCCGAATGGACAATTTCTCATGGCGGTTCATTTAGCATATGTTATCACAGATTGTCCTGGCGTTATGAATAGGCGGCTTTCTTACAAATGAGGTACAATGCGTTTCGCAGAAATGACGAAAACAATGTCAACTTGCCAAACTCTTCAGCTAATTGAGATGAACCAAAACCAATCTTCTACCACGGATAAAGACAATAGTGAAAAATAAAACAATAAGTTCTACGATGTGAAGTAATTACTTGAAAGGATTAAACCAAACGGAAGCCAGATAGTAGAAAAGCATCTTGAAGATATTTCCATTTTTCTAACTTTAAAAAATAGTAGCGGGTGGGGCGATTAATTTATGGAGAAAGAAATAGAACGGGACAAACCATTATGGCATTACCATGGTGGCAATTTCCCAATACTCTTAGTTGCGGAATTGATCGATATAAATATACTAGTATTTATCGGACAGTTGCATTCTACGCGTACTAGAGCTGCGTCATAGGAGCTATTGCCAGAATAGGAAAATAGCTTCAAGCGAAGTATATTTAAACAAATCAGGCGTAACAACAACACTTAATAACTACGTTGCCAGTGTTTCTGTTAATGTTATGCGAAGGAGTATATAAAACTGGCGCTAAATTCGATTGTCAAGAAAAAAGATTGTTGCAAACATGTCAGGCATTTTTGAAATCTTCTGCATCCGAAAGGGAGTAAGCTTGGCTACCATCGGATTTCCCACTATTTTTCCGAACACTTATGTGCCTCTCGTAGTAGATTGGGCAAAATGCAGCTAATCCAGTGAATCATCTGTTTCCATCAGTGATCTGGCAGCTCTATCAATAAGTAAACTATTGTAGGTAGCTCCTATATCGCCCTCCACTGTGCCTTCCGCATGGTTGTTTTCGGTTTCAAGGACGATTTCTGGAGGACAGCCACTTTGCTGCAGTTGTGCTTCGCTTCTAACATTGTCATCGATCAAACGAACAGCAGCTTGACGTAACACATTTACTGTCTCTGGGGCTCTGTTCGCCACCACAAGGCATGATGCCATACCCAGTTCACGCTTCCGACCTATGTCAACCTGTGTTAACATCCGTCTTATTCTACCCGGATTCGCATCGCTAGCATTGCGTTGTTGCCGGCGAGTTTGAAAAGACTTCTCCCTGTTCGGTGGCATCAAAAGTTTTGGCGTATCCGCTAACCCACAAGACTACACGGCCCCATTTGCTCGGATTCTGTCTGATCTTTGGACACCTTCGTCTCGTGTGGTAGTTACCTTGGATTTCTTTGACATTCTTTTATTCGCTGCACCACTGTCCGATGCAAGGTCACTGCTGTCAGAATCTGTATCTGCTAGCTCCATAGACATAGACTCTCCAGACTCTGATTGATCGGATTCATAATTATCGCATTCAGTATCATCATATTTTAAAACCTCTGTGAAGTCACGTAGAAGGCCGGTTACTTTATCCACGATGACGAATTCAGTAGCGCGTCCTTCGATAAAGTAAGTATCCATTTTACCTTTGCCCTGTAAGAGAGAAAAATCCATATGGTAAGAATCCATTTTTCTGACAGAATAAAGTACGTTATTTGAACGAAATACGGCACTTGTGGAATGTGTATTAAGACTGGAATGTCCACTCCTCTCAGCTTCATTATGTTCCAATTAAAATTTTTGTAAATCCTCTTAGGCAGTAGTTTATGATTTTTTGGAACAGCCGGTGTAGTTTTGCAAAGTTGGTATAGAATTCCGTATAACCTGAGTTGCATCTCTGAGCCCATGCAGACCATATTTCCGACGGTCTATCTAACTCAGAAGAAATCACTTCGCGAAACCATGGTAAAACGAATAACAAGTAACTTTGTCGTTCTTAGCAAAAGTATGCTGACAGTAAGCGTCTGAGGATTGATTTCGTATGGGCACAAGTTTACACCCAGGTAGCCGGGAAATACCTGTGATCTCACATAGTTAAATTTTGCTACTTATTAGTACATAGTAGTATGTTTTCATCAGAAACAATAAGCAACTGTCGATACATATCTGGATGATGCTTCACAGCGCGGAAATCAATTAAGCAAACGTAGCTGGAGACAATAAAATGTAACCACCTTTATATCCATCTTCCCTCTATACTTGTAAACGTATGGGTAAGGAGAGAGAGCATCAGCAAACGAATGGCTTATGTGTATTTTGTCCGGCTGCAAGAAGAAAGAGTAGATGGTAGGATTAAAACGACTGGATTACATGTAAACAGAACGGATAAATTTGTTGAACTCGGTAAACGCGCTTGCTACTCACTAGTAGCGCGTGTACTAATGACGGATGCTGCTGGATATAGCGTGGTTGTGTACCGACTGGATTAGGTAATGCGCTCCATAACTATTAGAAGTATCCCGTAAATAAACGCAAATGCGGCTGAAAAGCGACCAGCTATAGCAGTAGATGGGTTCATCACAAGTGGAACAACGTAACAAGTAATGGGTCCGCATGGGCTAGATGTGCTGCATGTCACCCTACACTTGCTATTCCCATAAAGGTCAGAGGGCTTCACGTTCGTACCAGTTCAAACTTTGTTAATTACATCAGTATCGTACTCTGCATATAGAATCCGGGCTTAAAGAGACGGCATAGAATCCCTTATTGCACAACCTTCTAGTAGCAGCCCAAATAAAATCTTAAGATAGCCGTTGGATTACTGGGGTGAAATATGCGGTGTGCCTAACGCTGTCGAACTGATATGCTTCTGGTACCTTATCTCGACTGAATGGAAGCGCGGTATAATACATAGTACTCGAGTACGAAGTCTCCCTTGGAAAACACAACTTTGATAGAGTCATTTAAAAACTCCCACAGAATCCAGACTTGTGCCATAAATCGTCGCTTTCCTGACGTTGTCAACGATTCCTTATTTTGGCATGTCGGGGGATGCGTTTATTTAAAACAACGTTTTCCGAAAAATACTGTCTTCTTTGATTACTCTAAACGCCACATGTTTCGTTATGCATCTGCCGGACGAATATCACCCATCTAAACTGATGCTGTGTGAAACTGGATGACTGACTGAAATTTTTCAGCCTTTTCCACACGTCATTCGTTCGCGCATAACTAGGCTAGGGCGAAGACTGCAGATCCTTCTATTTCAAACCCATGTAATTAGATATGTTATGGAAAGGACGCGTTTGAGGTTCTGTTCACAACCTCCATTCTCTTTCAGAAAGAAGAATATGAGCAGATTAGTATCTGGGAAAAATGGAATGATCTCCACCTTCAATGTTCGATATTAACTACAGTGTTGATGGGGAGAATACACAAGCGTCGTAAAATGCGAGCTAGCTGAAAACGTATTTTCACATTGTTGGATTAGGACCACTTGATAAGACCGTTCGAATTCCAGCATATATGAAGAGCGCTCAAGCTGTATTGAATAGCGTTGCCCTGTCCACAATAGCCCAACGCAGCAGCGCTGGGCCTTGTAAGAGTCTATTACATTTAGTGCAGTTTTGTCAGACAAATGAGTCAAGATAACGGAGGCTCGGTGGCTTCGGTCTGTGATGATCTTACCACTTGCCGGGAGAAAGTATTCTAATATTTTCTCCAGCACATACTTGGCGAGCATTTGTATGATATTACCACGACCTGTTCGCTGTGCCCAGGAAATATGAACTTGGCTACGCTTGCTAAGACTTACCTAGCACACCTGATTTATGGTACAGTTGGGACTATTTGAGGAGTGAACAAATAAGAGGATTATCAATCTTGGACTTGAGAGTAGAAGCAATACTCATTACAAAATAACTGTTGATGTTAGTATTTTCACTAGTTACAGTTCTGTATATCAGCATCTGTAAGCTGCAAGCCATCATTGCGCGACAACTGTGGTATACCCAATTATCTAATATTCCCAGTCTAAAACACTGATCAAGTGATCGCAAAGGCTAACTAGTGCTGCTAACCTCCCCCTATTCTCTCTGTGCTTGTCAGACCCAATACTAGTCAACATACAAGCTAAAACATGCGTTTCGAAATTGGAGACGCACCGATCCGCTGCTCATCATGCGACTGGCTGCGTTCACGGTGTCTCCAAAAAGACAGTACCGCGGCGTCTTGTAGCCAACAACACCAGCAACGATAGGCCCACTGTTGCAGCCTATAAGTAACTTAATTGTTTCCATTGAAGGGGAAAGATTCGCTCCGTCTGCCTTTTGTGGCCAATATAGGTTCTTCTGGCTTGTCTCTATTATTTGCAATGCTATTTCCGTAATATGGGCAGCGTGCAATGGGGTATGTTGCGGGACTCCCGAGACCAACATGTAGCTGTCCCCAATGGTCTCAACCTGTAGAAAAAGAAAAGCGGAGTGTGGCAAGTAGCATGTGATTTTAAACAAGACCAAGTATCTCTTACTCCGAGACCAAAAGATTAGTGTTATGAATATGAAAATTCGATGGCTGCTTAAATTTGTGTGGTCGTGACTGTTGTAGACGTGCCTCAGTCCAGCGAGGCGATGCAGGGAATCAAGCAGTGAGTTAATTAAACTAACCAGATGGTGTGATGTTATTTAGGCATTTAGAGTTTATCTGGATTTAACTGGCTTATATGGGAAGTAAGATCATTGTGTTACGGGAAAGTGGCGTAGCAGGCGATAGTATCTACTACGTGAACATTTCATACTGCAATTCCAGCATTAATTTGTGGATGTTCTCTCTTCGCTTAACTGATTGCTTAAGTCACTAGGAACCAACCTGATTGGCAGCGAAAAGTAACCAACAAAATTAGTGGCTGTATAAAACATGCAACGAAACACAGAGCTTAAACCAAGTTGAGTAGTCGCTGTACCCCTTACTCTTTGTGAGCCTTTCAATCTACTACTTATGACCCTGTTGTCTTAAACGTAGCCGTTAACAGAAGCTCTGCTATGTTTATTACTTTCCGCCTCCAGGCGGATCACGATGCATTGTTATCTCATTCTATGACCTGCACTTTCCGTATATCTTGACAACAAATAACCAACAGGTGAATCTAAATGCTCTGTATGAAAAAGAGCTTGGATACATGGGAATGTCACCCTATTCCAGATTGTCACAGTAGTATAATTTTACTTATGCGCTGATGAGTTCCTTAGTATGTATTTGCAAACGAACTTATTCCTACCAATTCACCCCCTGCTACCAGTATAATGTTCATCCAGTTCCGTCTAACCAACACTGTTTTCTTCTCCTTTGATGCACTGCTTCCGAGATGCACTACGCCTTTCTTGCTGAAACACACTCTGGGCCCAGTCTGCGTCTACTATCGTCATCCACTTATAGGAATCCCGTTGGATCTACATTTCAAATAAAACTAAATGGGACAAACAAACAATTGGGAACTGCCTGAGAACATAAGTTCATCTGACATCATTGAATAAACTTGAACCCGATAGGGAATTCCTAATTATGGAGTGTTTAAGAAGGCAAATCGATTGTTTACAGGCTTGTATTACGGCCAGGTTTCGTCCTTGGTTTCCTATAGCAATTGAGTCTGTCCGTACTCAGGCTGTAGCGAAAAACGTGAAACCATCGTCACTGGACTCAACAGCAGCACGACGAACGTGCATGATAGCTGTATGTGCTGTGACACGAATCCATTTGTGGACCTTTTATGCTCATTGTACCTTTATACAGAACTTATGACCCACTGAAATTGTTGTCTACTGACACCAACTAATTTTTGCAATCGTCATCCTAAGTTGCCATAAAAAGCCAAGCCAATGCCGTACTAGTTCATCTAACCCGATGAAGCTGTTACGTCAAGGGCGAGATGTAGGCGAAATATCAGCCATTAAACCAGGCATGCTCAACTTTTATTAAGCCCTCGTCCCTTTCTGAACCCTTACGTTTCTCACGGCCCCCAAGCTTTGATCATCACAATTTCATCATTCCGCAACGCCTAACAGACGTGATTCCTGAAGTTTTAGTCGTACAGTTAACATCCCTTTCTTATTATGGCTAAATTTTAATACATATATCACTGCTCTTTCCTTCGTAAATCTCATTTCTGAACTTTCATAGCTACACGATAATTAACTGTGCATCAACCCAAAACATTTAGCTGGAAATACACAAAATTAGCAACTATATTTAACACTGTATTTAATTATTGTTCGCACTTGACTTTAAAGCGAGTGCTGAACTAAGTGTTGTAATAGCTTCCTAACAATATTTTTATCAAAATATATATACAAGCCTTGAATCTGGTGTCCTTGGGCAAGCTTAGTTATGTCCGGCTCCAGACTTGATAACCAGAGTCAAACATCTCCATCTGACCTGCTGTCTAAAGTGTTTCTACTTTTGTTAGAGAAACCACACCGTTGAATCCACATTCAAGTATGTGGATGAAAACCAAGGTAATAGATTGTAGCCAGTTCCCACAGCCCAGGGAATCAGTATTTATCCAAAAACTCTCATATTGCGTGACTTCGAGTCTTGCTAATGTATCCCTTTAAAGCTCTACAAGGATTTCCATGGATTGTAAAGAACAATGGATTTAAAATCAAAATCAGAATCTCCAGGTAAATCAGCTCTAGAAACTCGTCTTACATTTCTTTTCGGAATTGTATATGTCTGGCATAAGCGACCAAGTCTTCATCCATTAGCTCTTCGGTGAGGGTAGCGCGAATTAGGGGCGGTAAAAATTCCCGACATCCGATATTTTGAGTATACACTTCCAGTTTTTTAAGAAAATCGATAATGTTCTCTTCGCTTGTGATGGGATTACTCAAATTACCTTGAATAGTATAATTAATTAAGTTGTTTTTCACAAACAACCTCCAGATAAAACACGTCTGGTTTAGCTGTTAACAGCTTTCTTTCATAAGCACTTCCATAAAGAAGTGGGCTGTTGGTGTCCAAGAGTGCAAGGAAACGGCGAAGGCAGTTACCCTTGGACAGCCATCTAAACTATGTATGCAACAGATGAACTTGGTACTCTTTACTGTTCTCTTCACACAATTGCTGGAAAAGAGGACCTTGATGAGGGTGAGATTTGATATTGTTGACTTCTATTATAACAGCTGACAGTGAATCGTCTAAGCGCCTCCCCAAGTTATTAGCCAATAGGTGCTCTCGGTGAGTCAACCAGTGAATTTTATGAACAGAAGGGAGAGTATTTTTAGCTGGGCAATGAATCCCTTATGCCTTCTGACCATTGCAGCAGCATCACTTTGGCATCTGCAACTATGTGCTGCATTGTGATGGTGTTTTCAGTCAGATAACTACTGATTAGCTCGAGTCTCCACTGGTATTTTGTGTAACTTTTAATTTTCTTGGCAAACAGCATCTCTTCCAATGATTCGTTAGCATTGAAGAATCTGATAACTGCCACGAGAAGAGCGTCGTTGTCAGGTTAAGTAGATTCATCTGCGTATGACGACAATTTGCTGGACTGTAATAGAGTAACTAAGATACTTTCAATATCGTGAGACAACTAATCTATTCTCTTGGATACAGTTGTGTTGCTGAGCGGAATGGCTTGAACTGCCTCTTGAGAATTCATGCTCGTCATGTCCGACAGTATTATTGAAACTAAAGACAGACGTGACCCACCAATTAAGAAAGTCCCTGCTTCCTGTGTTTCCGGTGGATCTTATGCACTTCACGAACGTCAATCACTTCGAAGGGTTCCTTTGATCTATTTCTACTTTGGCGAACCTATCTCACAAAATCACAAATTCATTCACTTTAGCAAATCCCCTCAATATGGCCACCTACACAGGCAGCTACATAAATCCAGTATGTTAATGGTTAACTTGTGGTATCTTTGTTCACTTACCGACCATACGTGTTTTTACACGAGGTACATGCATTTGCAGGCGTGCCTCACATTGAAGAGAATAAACCATTTATTTATCTTCCCAAAAATGTAGAAACACTGTTAGAGGCAACCCAAAGGTGGTTTCTGAGGATGCGTTTGAATTTACGGTGGACAGCTAAAATGACGGAAGCAAAGTTATTGACAGAAGCCAATAAAGGATGAAAACTAATAGAAATTGGAAATTGACAATGTTCGATGAATACATATTCATCACAGGAAACTACAGCAAACACTGACAACAGGTGGAATGTAGGACAGAAGAGCTAAACACAGAAGAACATGCTAAGATATTCAAGAAACCGGCAGATTGCAGATTGCCAACAGAAATTCGTCTGAAAGCAGCAGGAACACCAACAACTTCTAATGACAATTTAGTAAAGGCACAACTGTTAATGAAAATGCCAACTGCAGGACCCGACTCGGGGACGGTTTCAAGATTAGCCATACTATCCGGAGGGGCCCAGCATAGCACGAGCAAACACCGGGATTCGGGGCATCTGATACCTGCTTATATATCAAATACTTCTCGAGAGTCTGCAACCCATCAAAAAGCGATTAGTCGCCGACCCTTTATTGGTCGGCGTAAACTCATTTGCTTCATCCATCCAATCGAACACACTCTTAATCTCCTAGAAGCTCCCATGCATTTACACGAACGCCCAAGGTCTACTCAGCAAATTAGCTGAATTAAGACTTCGACAGGCGTCTGCAACTTGGGACCTCATCGCTGTCACCGAAACGTGGTTGCACTGCGAAATAACGGACGCTGAAATTGCACTGACGGGCATGTCCGTTGTCCGGAAGGATCGAACCAACAAAGGTGCTGGGGAAGCCCTTTGTTTTCGTAATAACATGCAATGCGAACGCATGAACGATACGGAAACCGACGTACCTGACGCCATTTGGTGTAATTTCCGGCTAAGAGGGAACGATCTTGGCCTATTGGTTGTTGTTTACTGCCCACCATCGTCTACTCCTGAGATGGACTGCAATTTAATGGCTGCGATGAGGCAAGTGGTAAACAGGAAGTACAGTCACATTTAGTCACCGGTGACTTCAGCTTCCATGCCCTCGAATCGCAGGCCACACCAGGACAGAAATTATAAGCAGCTTTGCAAGATCTGGTTTCAGACTTCCTGCTTCATGGCCACGTCACTACGCCCACCAGATTCAGGGGAACTGACAGGCCATCCATATTGGACCGAATATACACCAATGAAGAATTAATGGTCGAGAGAGTAATAACCGATACTCCTTTGGGCCGCAGCGACCATGCGAGGCTATTGTTTCATTACATGTGCTACGCGGCTTATCCTAAAGAGCTTGCAGAGGAATATCGTGTCGTAACCAACTATGAAGACTTGTCCGACCTCACTGATGCAACCAGCTGGTCGTTCTTAGCTGAATTCACCCCTGAGGTCGCCTGCGGAGAATTCGTCAACATATTTACAAAGTTCGTGGCAAGGACATCTGAAACCAAACTCTACATGCCTAAAAGGATGAAGTCTTTCTTTACGAGCAGGCCCCGTAAATGCATGGCATTAAGAGACTTGGCATGACACACCTACATGTCCTTCCCGAACGAAGATACCTGGGATGTCTACACAATACAAAGAAATCACTGTGTCAGACTCGTCCGGGAGGATAAATTGTAGAACCAACAATGTCTGGTGGAAAACTTTCGCTCCAATCCCAAACTTCTATACAGACACGTAAACAATTTGTGCTGTGTTAAGCGCGGTATTCTTGCTCTGCACACATCATGCGGGTTAGCCCAAACCGCACAAGAGGCGGCCAACATTCTTGGACAACAATTTGGCCGTACCTTCCAAAGCGTGCAATCATCATACATCCTGCCTATGCAGATAACACCGCTATCAGGGATTAATCACACATCGTTCTCATCCGCAGCTGTACTGATTAGGTTAATGTCTCTGCGCGAGTTCAGCTCCCCGGGTGTGGACGGCGTTCGCCCGAAGGCGTTGAATGTTGCGGCCATGAGTATGGAAGGAACACTAGCAATTTTCTTCAACGATGTCTGAACGAGATGAACGTCCCCACCATGTGGAAGCACAGAATCATCACGCCTATCTACAAACGTGGTAGCCGTTCTGAACCAACAGATTATCGCCCGATAACACTACTGCCTGTGATCGCCAAGGTTATGGAGTCCATCGTAGCTGAGGCATTAATGAGGTACCTGGTGAATAACGAAATTCTCGTTCCGGAACAGAATGGATTTCGCCAAAATCATTCCTGTACAACTAATCTCTTGATTGCTAGTGAAAACTGGACGGAATCTGTGGACGGTGGTGTAAAAGTCGACGCGGCCTACTTGGATTTCTCAAAAGTATTCGACCGTATAGACCATCGCATTCTCCTCCATAAACTCCATGAATTTAGAATCGGCGATCTTGTTCTGGGCTGGATGTGAGACTTTCTCGTGCAACGTCACCTGAATGTGAGGGTTAGAATCAACCTATCAGAATCCATCGAAGTTCAGTGCGGCGTACCTCAGGGCTCGGTACTTGGACCCCGCCTGTTCCTGGACTTCATAAATGATCTCGCAAGTGTGCTATCTTCTAACTGTTTGCTATTTGCTGATGATTTAAAGGTATGGCGCACTATAGCTGCAGTGGAGGATCCCAAAATCTTACAAGAGCACCTGGAAAAAGCGTACACATGGTCCATCGAGAACATGCTGCATTTCAACGTCACCAAGTGCAAATTTCTCAATATACGGCACAAGAGTATGCACAACTACCGCCTAGGACCACAGATTCTACAGCGAGCTTCTCACGAGTGCGATCTAGGCGTGATAGTTCAAGATGACTTCGGTTGTTCGAGGCAGACTGAAAAGGCAGCTAAGAAAGCGAACCAGTACCTCGGCCTTCTTCGCAGAGCCTTCGGGAAGTTTGACCCTTCATTCTTTCCAAAATGCTTAGTGTGTACGTGAGGCCGCATGCGGGAGACGCTATTCAAGCGTGGCAACCCTGAATCAAGCACCATCTCACCGCACTCGATACTGCACAACCTAGGGTAACGAAGAGCATCAGAGGTTTGACTAGCGTCCCCTACCCACTCAGGCTGAAGGCCCTCAAAATATGCAGTGGACGTTATCGCCGTCTAAGGGGCGATCTCATAATGATGTACCAGATCCTGAGAAACCCAACCCCCCATGCCATTCCCTTCTGATACTCAGTCAAAACATTCCGCTAAGAAGTCACCAGTTTAGGCTGGCCACGCAGTACAGCCGCCTGGAATGTCGGCGAAACTATTTCCCACTTCGAGTGTCACAGCCTTGCAACGCCCTCCCGGAACATGTAATTAATGCACCCACCCTATCCCTTTTCAAAAACGCTTTGACGAAACGGTCACATTTCAAATACGTGCAATAGCCCATGACCACCAGATGCTGGCACTAATGCACAACAGACAGTGGATAGTGCCATAACCCTACTCCAGAATAAGTCACTCCAAACGCCTTGCACGATATTGGATAAACTCTACTACTATAGAAACTGGATATGTGTATCCTGTCGACCCAAGATAGTCGTACACGAGTAAGCGTTGTCCTTGCTATCCTTTTATCTTTCTCGCCTATGATGTGAACAATAACCACTCCCCTGTTCCTTTGTGTGCGTACATTCACATTTCAAACTCCCTTTATACAGCAGTGCAGTTACATCTGTAAACTCCCGAACTGACGACGCTATTATCCCTTTGCTGTCCTTTTTTGTCACGCTAAACACCCTACGGGACATGTTAAGCACCTGCTTTTTACCCGTTATAAACCATTGTTCATTGTTCATAATAACACACAGCGGCTATTGCCAAACTTGGTGCCAAATGTGTGTTGGCAAGGCCTTTGTTTCTTCTGAGTATTATGAAAACCATTCTTTTGTACACATGATGTTATAAATACTCACCACAGAAACCAGATGTCCATACTCATGATGTTAGTTGGAAACCCTTTCCTCCAATTTGAAGACTTCAGCTGACCTGGATGTTAAGAAAGCTTTATAACGCGTCCTAGTTGTTTCGACTGTCGGAACAGAAGAACGTTCTTCGCAGATAGCACTTCACGCGTGCAGAGTAGCCACTCGAATTCGGAAGGCTGTGGGTTTATGTGACCCAAACGCAGGAAGTGCACGCGAACTGAGACTGGAGACGAAAATCGCGTAACTTAGCCTACTGCACTGAGACCCAAACGAGAGAGAAAGACAGACCGGCACACGAATTTTCACCCAGTGGTAGTGTCCTGAGGAAAACTTGGTGTCAGTGTGGCTTCGTGCGGTACCTGCCGCAGTGTGCTGAGGAGAGTTCAGTGGATTCATTGTGGCTAGGCATCAAATTCCTGGAACGGCTTGGTTGTTATTTGCCCATACTGAGTTGCCCTATGTTAAGTGTACGTTTGAGATGTCGGCGAAATATTCAGAGCTGTGCCAGCTCCACAAAAATGTATGCGCGGTCTGTCTTCAGAATTCCGTAAACAGACACTTGTGCGCGTAATTAATTTCTGTGACCAGCAGAGGTCAGGGGAGATTAATACGTGATGAAAAACTCTCAGCAAACTTTTTAAGCAGATATTTTCTTTGTGTTATCATAACCCACTTTTCATAGTATAGCCCTCTATGGCCCCCTAAAAAGCTTTCAATCTAGGGCCTCAGGGGGAGGGCATATGGATCCTGTTGAGAATGGTTGCTTTGGACAATCGAGTTCCTTTTTAAAACTGTCCGAAATCAGTCCATCCGCTTCTCTTAGTCTAGAACTGTTCGATCGCTGTGAAAATTGCATGGGGATCGTTATCCCCATTTATAACTTAAAGATCACTTGGTTCTCTTAACTTTGCAACAATTTAGCCTACAGACCGATGCGACGCCCTCCAGCACTATTAGTTTAATCCCTCCATTGCTGATTATCTATTTTATATTACCTTTTTCATTTTGTTTGTTTATTTGTTTCTTTTTGGTCACGACTGGACCGATCTCCTGAGTTGCTGGCTTGAATCTTCCAAGCAGGATGTTTCCTCACGCAAGGCGGATAGCCAAAGACCCACTAGTAAAGAAGTGTGCTAGATTTATAAAAAAAGGCAAAACAGCAGTACACTATAAACTTTGACTATAAATTTTATGGAATATACCGTCAAACCAGGTGAATTCGTTTATCGCGCCCACTAAAAGCTAGGATTGACGAACGGGCTGACTGGCTTTAATGGTCACCTTATTAAAAAACCCGAAGGAATAGTAAAATGGGCAATGGCTAGCCTATTTTCCGCCACTCCAGCGCACGACTAGTTAAGGTGGGAAGGTGCGTGTGAAACATTTTGGGAGACTAGTCCGCATGGAATTGAGTCCAAATGGGACAGTTTCACGGATGACCGAACTACTTCACTTGCTCTTTCCTACCATACTTTCTTCTTTGACTTGAATCTGTTTCGGTGCTTGTTCTTAGTTATTTCATTTCACGGTGCTATTTGTTGACCATATTACCAATTATACCGATGGTCCTTCCTTCCTAACCTTATAAAATACTAGTTTGCTGTCTGCATATTTCTCAGTCACAACATGTTCAAGGTATTTTACAAGACTGAGATTCGCTGATGATGTCTTGACGGGCATATCTCGTATGGCAAAAAATAAATGCTTATTTATTAATATTATTACTATTAATGTTATCAGTATTGTTAATATTACTTATATACCAAGTTCCCTTCATCCCATTATTGCCTTGGCCAAGTGCTTTCACAACTCGTTCCGTGCTGAATACGACTAACTGCCCACCCTACTTCAAGACTATTTAAACTTTGACCATTTTGATGTATGCTTCATACAGATTGACCCCATTTCGTGTCAGCGCTCAAGCAACCCATAGTTTATCGGTGTGTTATCATGCGGACTGTCAAAGCGGACACTATGTTCACTGTTTTGTAAGCACGTATTATTTTATTTCGTTATGTTACCTGCCATTTAAATAACTTGTGAAATGGGGCGCCGTCGCTTGCACTCTAACCGTTTAGAAGCGTAGGCCGTTGCCTTCCGAAGTGAACTGCTTATCATCTTAACTGAAATGATTTGGAGACATGGCCTTGAAACTTCGTTATCCGGCTCCGGATGATGATTGATTTAACCCCAGTGCCAACGCATCACACAATCCTCCCAGGTGCATTTTGTTGCTGACATAGGCACATAATTGTCAGAGGGCAATCTGAGAAGCCATTCCTCGCCGGCATATTTCTATTATTTTCGATGAAACCAGCCACCTATACGTGATGTTCTGTTGGTCAAACAATTCAGCCAACTAATAAACAATTTGGACACCATGAACGTTCACACTTACCTTGTACACTCTGTACAATTCCGTAAGTGAATCATATAGCGTGTACATTTTGTTCAGCAGCTCAACTATTTGTTGCACCGTAATCTTCATGCAGTTGGTACTGAAGTTCACCACTTTGGTGAAGCAAATACTTACTACATTGTAGGCCTGAAAAGGCAATGTGTGATTAAGATTGGTCTACTGAAGAAATTAGCCGAATTGAGTAGACAATTACTTAAATGTAGCCACAAATTCCAGAAACGTAACAACTGTGGAGACCGGGTTATAACTTCTAGGAATGAGTGTGCGGGAATGTTATACAACCGAGTTCATTAAGAAGATCATTCTGACCGAGCATTTACTGCTTAAATGTAAAAAGCAAACATGTGTACAAGTGACTGACGCATAAATTATGAGATGTAGGTAGGTCCGGGTTGCTAACCCACTGAATAAGCAGCAACCTGTCGTTCATGGAGTGTACTCAAGGCCTTGTTTTCCGTTTAGCAGTCATCCAATTAAGTATTAGCAAGGGCGCTGCCATGGTATGTAAAGGTATTGTAAGTTAAGTCATTCAGTCTCGTTCGTTGCGTTCATTTTAATCCATCTACTTTTCCTCCAGAGAAAATCTCGGTAATTAAGTGGCTGTGTAAAGTCCTCGATCACAACATTACCTGTAAGAGCAGGCACTCTGCAATTGTGCGTAGTGTAGGACTCTTGGCTACATAAACTAAGGTCTCGCTTCTTTCAAAGTTCACTTCCACCAGATTGCCGCTAGATGATAGGGTGATCCAGGGAACACATTTCTAATACCATTGCAAAACACCCTTCCAGTGAACATTAATGGAATTTCCCCGAGCGTCTTCTCGGAGAAGACTAATGCTTCAAAAGTCTTGCATCTCGTGTCTATTGCATGATAGTATTGCTAATCTTCCCACTGAATTACTGAGTTTCACATATTGCATAAGGTTGGAAACCTGGATGTCTTGTCAAATGTACCCCGCAGCAATTGTCCTTCTTCCATGGTAGACAGCCTGGTTCATGTCAGTCTAGCTGTCAAGCATATAAATTACACTGTGCAACATCATTCTTATAACAGAATTGAGATAAGAGTTTCTAGTAGTACCAGGGGAGCTGATTACGAATATGCAAACCAAATGTTTCTACCACTTCGGGTGATTTTTATTACGATTTTTCATTTCAGCTAACCATTCCGTTCCATGCATCGAACCTTTGCTTGTGACTGATCCATTGGCTTCCTGTAATCGTGGGACGAATTCCTCGTGGCCATGGTATCCACCTGATGCTGCAAGTCTATTGAGAGTTATGCTTCCTTAATTGATCTCTTGATCAAGACTGAAAGACTCGGCTGTCAGCTACCGAAATACTTTTCGTTACATCGGTGGACCGTTTACTATAACATCGCAGTGCAGACCTATTTATTCACTACTAAAGTCGGCCTACCAGGCACATTTCATGATGGAACTGAGAGATTAGGGAAAGAAGTGGGTTTCGCATATCTTTTGTGCTTCAGGCATCTGCATCTGACTAAGTGTCTCAAAAGCAAAGGCAAGATGCCCTTTGCAATCCCCAGCGTGTAGATGGAGCCGAAGGATCACACGACAGAATGATAGTTCAGCCTACTCATGCTCTTTGGAATCAGTCAAAATTCCTTACCCTGATCTTCCATCAGCTACTAGACCTGCTCATCATGACTACACCTTACGCATTCCAGTGTCTCCGTTAAACTTGTCACTGATTTTGAGTAGTGATTCCGCATCGTCAACTTCCGCTGCTTCTGACATCCGTGAATACTTTGAAGCGGATGTTGTCAACCCACATCTTATTTAACAATCAGAGCTGAATAACTTGATACTTGACCTGGGCTTGCCTAAAGACAAGGCCAAGTTGCTGGCATCTTGGCTGCAGCAGTGACACTTACTTGCTGCAAATACTAAGGTTACTGTATACAGAAAGCAAAATGTTAATTTGTCCGGTGTCTATCAATGAGGGAAACCTTTTGTTACTGTTCCAAATTGGAAGGACAAATGAATTAGCTTGGCGTGAAGCATCTCAGTGATAAATGTCGTTTGTTCTTTGACTTGTCCGATCGATTAGTTCACACCGCTCCACAATGGAAACGTGTAACAAACTGCGCCTCTGTTGCATGCTACTAGTATAAAGGTGACTTACGAAACTATGCAAGAACTACTCACTGCACTGAGCTGTTGGAACATCTGTGCTGACTTCAAATTCATAAGGTTCTTAATGAGTTTGAAAGGAGGTTTCACAAAATATTACTGTTTGTTGTGCTTATGGAACAAAAGAGTAAATCAACAGCGCCATACAACAAAAAGTTACCAGGGAAGACGGAGTATGCTGCCGGGAAAATGAGTGTAAAGCATGCATCTGTTGTGCAACCTGATCATATCTATCTACCACTCATGCACATCAACTTAGTTTGATTAAATACTTCGTCAAAGCCGTCTTGCAAGACGCTTTTGGGTTTCAGTATTTGAAACAAGTCTTTCCAAAGATCAGTGATGCGCAGCTCAAAGAAGGGATACTTATTAGGCTTGATATTCGCCGGGTAATGGCAGACAGTGTTTTGGATTATGAATTGACTTCATTTGAGTTAGAAACATGACGAACACTCGAGGAAGCGTACAGGACGTTTGGGTATGAGGAAGGCAGACAACTACAAAAATATCACAACATAGCTCATTGCAGACTATCAGGCTGTCGGTGCTCGAATATCACTCATTATGCACTTTTTGCATAATCACCTTGACTTTCTCCTTGAGAACTTGGGATCTGCCAGCGATGAGCATGGTGAGCGCTTGCACCAAGACATCGCATTCATGGAGCAGCGCTACAGTGGCCAGTATACGCCTTCTGTGAAGGTGAATTTTGTTGCTTTCTTTAGCTTGAGGACACAGGATCATAAAGGTGACGATCTCGGCAAAGTCATCATTTCCTAGTGCCAGTCTACAATCAGTAATTAGCGGTGAGTGTTGGAATAATGTTTTAAAGGTATTTGCCTCATACATGCATTCTGTATATGTTGTGATGCAGTATATTTATATATAATTCGTACGACATAGTCTTGGCATTATTGAATATAATCATTTGCTTATAACACTGTAAGCAGACATGCTAGGTAACATCGGGATACATTTCCACGATTATTGGGGCTTCTTCTAATATTTAGTTACATTGGCATTTCTCTTCCAGAAAAAAAATATGTTTTGTTACACAATGTTATAGGTGTTGTGTCATTGATAAGCAACCTAATATTGTTTGCCTGGTTAACAGCAGCGCCCACTGAACATGGGCACATACTATTCCGCCTAACTACTTACTCTCTTTATGTGAGGGACTCTCTGCCGTTGTGGCAGCAAACTTTATATGCTTGTACACACTATGGCTTGTGCGTAAATTCCAACTATCATCTCACGAAAACTTTACTTTCATAAAAGGCAGAGAAGTCGAGCTCACTCCCTTCACGTCAAAAGGTGTCACTCGTACACAGATAAGCATTTACTGCACTATACTTGTAAGACGTCACGTGGGTTGCATTTGCAGCAACTATCACAAGGAAGCAAGATAGCCCCGCGATACGTCGGCGGTGTGCTCGTTAGCAGTTGACTCCTGTGAGGTTAGCACACATATGCCAAAATGTTGACACGCTTGTAACCTCAGGGACCATTCCATACCTGATATACTCCGTAAGGTCGTTATACATTGCCTCCTTTCAGTGAGGAAGAAATGCATCTTATGTGATCGATTGACTACGCACTGCAGTAAGGTGCAACGCTCCAAGGGTCATTCAAACAAGTGTCCCTGGGTTAATTAACGCCCAAAAATACTCTACAGCTATATCATAAAATATGCATGCAATAGAACGGGAATTCATAGTGAAAACGAAACCTTGCCCATCAACTTTAAATGCAGGATATTACAAAACACTCCTAAATCAAAAGTCGGCTTCTCTTGTTCGCCCACTACACCAGGCTCGATTTTCGAGTTAAATTTGATAGCAGTCTTCTGAAAACGTACATACTTCTTACTCTCGTATATCACTTACTTCTCCCACGAAATCGAAACTAGTATAACACGTCTTGACTTATGTGTTGATTGGTAGAATAATAGTCCGTATAAAAGAAGAAATTATGCTGATTTCACTTATAAGTTTTAAACGAGGAAGAACAAACTACTCTTTTTCCCATAGTTAACCACTTACATGCAACCGGTGTGCAACATTGCCACATCATTGGTCTTTACGCTGTTACGTCAAAAAATTAATAAACCACTTCCTGTTTTTATTACATCACCTCAAGACTAAAACTGAAATTACCATAAAAGTTTACCTTGGCTGCAATATCTTGCTTTTACACCGAGGCTTCGGTACAGCTGTCGATTTTCAAAACCAATGACCCAGTGAACAGTAGAACAAATTGCAGTTTTAGCAATGCGGCTTGTGTTATTTTTCTCTTGAAGTTGAATTCGGGAGAAAATGGCTAGGGCAGGAGAAGTTTTAACAGCGTTGACAGTAACGAATTCAGAGAGAGATCTAAGTGACACATCACTCCACAATGAAGACACTACTGGTGGTCAGGAAAGTATGTGTGACTGGTTAGATTATGTAAGCAAAGCTGTAGAACCCCTCAATAAGAAAAGTTTCCGATTCTCCATATGTCATACATCGGTAATTGTCAAAGTCGCAGAATTTTGAGAGATTATGCTATCAGTATAACTTCTTTTGTTTGATTCGGGTGGCCTCTTAGCTCCCATACTTAATGGGCAATGATCTATAACGGGCAAAATGGCATCATTTAACAGGTCCCGAAGGATGAACGGAGTTAGGTTTACAACATGATTGTAAACTGATAGGAATAGGTGGAAAATTTTAGTTTGAGGAGACCCACCGAGTTATTTACATGAACGTATGCTGGTCTTCTCATCGTTACGTAAAAGAGGGGCTTACGAGCACACTGTTTTCCTTAATTCGTCCTTCAATGAAAATAGGCCATTACGCGTAATTTAAATGGGATAGAGTATGGTACAATCCTTTTATAAAAAGCGTTACTGTATGGGCGAAAATAACTCCGGAATGAGGAATGTTCCACATTCTGGATACCCAAAGGGAGAAAAGTTTTGACAGCCATCAAGTCAACTGTGGCGTGTGGTCATTCGAAGCAGACGGCCTCTCATATCGGTATTGTGGCTGACTTGCAACCGATCGCAACATGTGTGATTGAGGGGTAGTCAGTATGTGATACACCACAATAGCTCTACTCCCAGGCACCGGTGCTCGGCGCTGTACAAGCTTAGGGCTTGCAATCTTCGTTGGTAGAATTTAAACACCCCCTCTAACGAGCATCGTCTTTCTACGTTGTGGAGCTTCGAGCGCAGCAGCAGAGTGGTTGCGCCAAGGTCGCCAAAACTGGATCGGGTGCTGCACGTGAGGCCTCACGCAGGCATTTTGCCTTTTCAGAAAGACTGATGGCTAGAACTTCCTGAATGTCCTTTGTAGGAAGTCAAGGTACTGATCAGCATTACTCTATGGATATTCAACAAGTTTCAAACAGCTACGGTCGTCTAGTCCTATTACACCGAGGTCGCTTTCCTGCGTAACATGTTGTAACAACTGCTTCCACAATCGACATTCATGAGTACATTGATAGCGTATGCTCAGGACTTTGCAATTCGCGAAGTTAATCTGGAACCGGTTTTCAGATGACCATGTGAAGGCCCTGTCGAGATTTCTTTATGGTGCCGCGTGGTGGCCCATTATCTTGATGTCATGCCAGATCTTGACGTCGTCTGCAAACATATAGGGATCTGACTGGAGCACTCTAGCAAGATCTTTAATGAATATGAGGAGCAGACGTGGTCCCTATTCTTGATGCACACCACATTGGAATTCAATTGATCCGGAGATGGATCTGCGAGCTCTCACATTCAGGTGACGCTGAATAAGGAAGTTGCTTATCCTGCCATACATAGGGTCACCTATTCCACAGTTTCGTTGTTTGTGAAGAAGAATGCGGTGGTCCAGGCGACCGAATGATTTAGAGAAATATACACGACGTTAACACCTTGTCTGATATCATCTGAATTTGTGCAGCTTATTCGGATTAGCAACAAGTGTGTGGTAGAGGATCGATTCCGGCGGAATCCATGCTGCTGTGACATTAAGATGTAGTTGCTCTCAAGGTATCCCATGATCGCCTCTTCCCATAAATTTGGCTACCGCTAGGAGAATGACGTTTAATCGGTAGCTAGAAGAATCCCACGATACCCGCTGTTGAAAATAAGAGCTGGTATTCCATTTTTCACATGGTTGGAACCAGTATTTCCTCAAGGCTTCTTTGTAAGAACCGGGGCAGTGGTACGGGAAAATACATGGCTATTACTTTTAATGCCTTCAGTCTAATATTGGCTAACCAGGGGAGCTGTATACGCGCAAGGACATAAGCTTTTCATCCCATTTGCAGCGGTGAAGAATAAGTGGCTTCATCTTGGGGCGAAGTGAGCCGTGCTATGAACTGATAGTGCTGATACAGTTTAGTACATGTGGGTAAACTGTTGCAGAAGCGCGTTCTCCCCATTTTGTGCAGCAACTGACAGCATTTCTACTACACAAAGAAATGGGATCCCACGCTGCACCCTCCGGAGTCTGTTTACATACTTGTAAGACGTTTGGCGATTAGTACGGAATTTCCTCGCTAAGTCCCGTTCGTATTTGAGTTTGTGCTCGCGGACTAATTTGACACGTTGATTTTACTGATTTATATGGCCATCCGGGCAGAATTTATAAGCGTGCCAGGCCGAATCCCAAACTTTCATGCATATTCGTGTCCGCTTCCTCAGGAAGAACTTCGTTTGCTTCGGGCGAAAGACCTAGTTTTCCGACACATTTGTCACTAGTCCGTTAAACAGGGTGATAAATTCATTCCAGTCGACGTCGGAAGGCTGCCCTGCTAGGCAAGCCCAGTTAGTTTATGGAACGAGGGCAGTTAGAGTACCGTAATGGTAAATGTTGATACAGTAAAATAAACTTCTAAGCAACATCTAAAATCCCCTGGTTACCTCAGAGCTCGATCCCAAATACGTGTCTAGCTTAGCTGTTTGGTGTAACTATGAAAACATCACTTCTGCTCATAAAAACAAAGCAGGAACCGTTGCTTTCGAAATAAAATGGTGCAGAAACGGCCGACAAACGTGGCCGAATGACATACATATTTCAAGCCTTGCAAAGTGGTAAAATAAATAGTCCAAGAAACTTCGTGTTGAACACATGCAAAGACATTATACCGGAATACAAATGTATGTAACTTGGTGCAAGTAAAATCAAAGCAGAGAGTAATCATAGTTATTCTATTAGTCACCAGTTCTTAAGTTCACACACTACCAGTCTGCGTATGTGCCTAAGGCATAGTCAGATGGTTGAATATATACGGGGTAGCTAACCTTCAACAGGATAACTTACTGATGAACAGTAAACAAATACAGAGCATCCGCAGCGTACACAACATATATTGTGTATTCAGAATGCGGGGGATCGATGCCACATAAATGACGCAAAAATGAGTGTCTAACCAAAATAAACAGAAGATGCAAGGCTCGAAGCTGACTGAGGCCTACCTGCATGGTTTCTATAGCTGGTGTTCCATCCCGGAGTTTCCTGGCCACTCCCTTCGGAATGCACTGGTACAGCAACTCGTTTGTGCGTTTGCACAAATCATCGACCTGCTTCATACTCTTCTCCAGTCGTTTGCTTTTATGCATTTGCTGTAAAACAATATTGTTTTATGAAAGTTCACCAACTTTCTCTACCAGCAATCCAACAAGTGAGCTGCGTAATAGAATTGATTGTTTATTCGCTAGGTTATCATAGGTAACCACTGAAGTTTTATCAGTTTAAAGTGCAACTGACAAGAGACACGCATCACAAGGACAATGATACCATATGAGCGAGTTAGTAAAAGCAGTTGCAACTAAGCGTAGTTAACGGGGAACAGTAACTATTATTGAACGGCAAACTATCGTGAGATGACCGGTCGAACCCATTTCACTATCCATAAAAGAACATGGTCTAGACCAGAAATAAGTGCAACAACATACAAGGAAATAATGGATTGACATTCGTGCTTCCTAGTGACCAGCAGCAGTCAAACCCCACATAAGATTTATATTGCATAACGATGCCAAACCTAAGGCTGTATTTCAAAAACACGGCCACTCAAAGTAGAAGAAGGAAATTCGCATTAATGTGTGGCAAAATATTATCCTCACGATCATTAGTTTCCATCACCATGGAAACAAATGTCACAGCTGCGTAACCAGCTGATGATACGTAATTAAATCTTATTGCATATTCATAATTCGATAGAGTTTTACAGAAACCATCGCATTTGCTCTTACATAGAGTCTCCACAACACAACGTTTATCATCCTCATCAAACCATCGTTCTCAGTATCATGGTCATCATCATCATCATCATCATCATCCTCATCATCATCATCATCATCATCATCATCCTCATCATCATCATCATCATCATCATCATCATCATCATCATCATCATCATCATCATCATCATCATCATCATCATCATCATCATCATCATCATCATCATCATCATCATCATCATCATCATCATCATCATCATCATCATCATCATCATCATCATCATCATCATCATCATCATCATCATCATCATCATCATCAACATTATCATCATCATCATCATCATCATCATCATCATCATCATCATCATCATCATCACCAGCATCCTCCTCATCATCCTCATCATCCTCATCATCCTCACCCTCATCATCATCATCATCATCATCATCATCATCATCATCATCATCATCATCATCCTCATCATCATCATCATCATCATCATCATCATCATCATCATCATCCTCATCATCATCATCATCATCATCATCATCATCATCATCATCATCATCATCATCATCATCATCATCATCATCATCATCATCATCATCATCATCATCATCATCATCATCATCATCATCATCATCATCATCATCATCATCATCATCATCATCATCATCATCATCATCATCATCATCATCATCATCATCATCATCATCATCATCATCATCATCATCATCATCATCATCATCATCATCATCATCATCATCATCATCATCATCATCATCATCATCATCGTCATCGTCATCATCATCATCCTCATCATCATCGTCATGATTATAAGCAAGATCATGAGTACATTCATCAACATCAGCGCTGTTAACATTATCACTGCACTCATCATCATTATCATCCTCCTCATCAATTTTAATATCATCATCGTCATCAGCGTCGTCTTTAGCATTCTCACGGACGCCGCGGATTTCGTTTTCGTGTGCTGCATTCTACTTTTGCTTTGGAAATACTGTGTTATACATGTTGTCGCTGGGCGAATTTTGTACCAGTACTTTACTTTTGGTGTATTTTTCCATCTGTGCGAATTTGGTGGATATTTTACTGCTACTGTCGGAGATCACATTGATCTTTCTAGCTGCCGTCTGTGAGCACTTCTTGGATTTGTCCTACAGCAATCGACCCGGTGTCTGCCAGACCATCAGCTTGTCCAACGGCGTTTGAATTCAGCATACCGGTGTAGATGTTGCAAAGTACAGCTTCCGCAGACCTGACAGTCACAATGGCACGTACTCTTGGCCAAGGAAAGCTAAGCCAAAAGCTTTCGAAATAAACGTTAGTTGTGGTGCAAACAGTTGTGCGAAACTTGTGCGATTTGGAATAGAATGCAGAAACTGCCGAAAGTAGTTCCATTCTCGCTGTGCTTGCCTTAGTCTCAGCCAGCTTAAAAGCTTAATAGTACGACTGATTCTCTGGCTCTACACTGAGTGTACGTCTCTTCCACTCGTCAGATGTATAACTGTGTTGGCGCAGAAGTGCGATAGGCTGACAAAGATTGTAGAGCAGGCAGCCGCAGCGAAAGCGGTCTAACATGAAGCAGACAAATCAGTGCCTCGAACTCGATGCTCAGCATTAAGCTCCAATTCAGCACCGTGTAAGAGTATCGATCCGACATTAGCCACCCCGACACTAGCGTCTGCTCATAAAGATGCGTTCGCCACACATTCCTTAACAGAATCACTCTCCACACTGAACACTGTTAAAGGATTGACAACATACGCGTCCGTTGTTGCTGCCCATATGACGGAGGCACCTCCCATTGCACCCCCGCCCGCTGCCGAATGCGTTACTACTGCCAATACTACCACGGGACTCAAGGCCGCATCATTTGTCCAACCGAAGAAAGCAGCCACTGGTCCCTCCAAAAAGAAAAATATGAAACACTACCATAACTGTCTAACTGTTATGTGCTCTAATGTAACTGAATCGGGGCGAACTCCATAAAAGATAATATACTAGACGACAAAATACAGTGTGACTCCCTGTGTTAACTAATAGAGGTTCAAGCTGAATCAGTCAGTATGATGCGTCTCGTCCGTCACCCAAACTCCGTACAATACAGTAAACCGCGGTTACTCCAGGTGACACTTCAGTCAGGTAATGATGCAGAGGCAGTTCTCTTGTCAGCCATTCGCCTCCGTATCACCATATGCACTGTTCGGATATTTCCATTTGATCCTTGGAGCGAACTCAAGAAAAGCAAACAAAAGCCGGATGACCCGTAAACAACAAGAAGCAAAATCTATCCTTCTTCCCGGTGTCCCCGAGCTCCAGACATTAGGCGTGCTAGAGGCCAAAGCGCATGACTGGGATGAATGGCGTTGTATTCGTGAAGTGCTCCAACTCGAAAATGTTATCGCTACTTCGACATCAAGGTAACTGCTATCACCTAATTACAAAGGGTGTGGTCCCCGAGAGATGAAAGTATGATTGAACTCCGAAATGATGGCAGAACGTGTGATCAAAATGTGGCACAAAAACCGTAAAATGTTGCCATCCGAAATACGTATAAAGGCAATAGGCACCGGGCTACAGATAGACAATGTAACACTGGGCAAGCAATTTACCAATACAATTCTGTCCCCGTGTAGCTCAGAACGGAAACAATGCTAAAACACAACGACAACTGAAGGAGGACAGGATTGTCACCCTCTTTTTGGCGCTAAGGTGTCTATACAACAACCTGAACTGGCCCTAGGGCATGCGTCATCGGTCCCACAAAAAGCGACCCGCAGCCGACCCTGCAAGGGTCGGCATAAACCCTCAGCGGAAACCAACATTCACAACACACGCTACTGCTCACCGACGCCCTCACCTGCTTGTATACCAATGCACAAGGTCTTTACAGCAAGCTAACGGAACTTCGTATACGTCAAGTCTCCAAGCCTTGGGACCTAGTTATGGTCCCAGAAACGTGGCTGCACCCAGAGATCATGGCTGCTGAGATGGCACTACCCGGCATTACTTCCATTCGAAACAATCGACCTAGCAGAGGTGGAGGAGTGCTCCTGTATTATAGACCCCACCTCCATGTGGATGTCATTGAGGACCCAGAAACGCAAGTCATCGACGCTCTTTGGTGTCGTATGTACCTAAGACGTGGTGATGGGTATTTACTAGCAATAGTTTACCGCCCTCCAACGTCCAGCTTGGAAATGGATCAATGTCTAGTTTCTGCGATGAAAAGAGTCTTGGCACAACCATACAGTCACGTCCTTCTGGTGGGGAAGTTCAGCCTGCGGGCAATAGAATTTCCGGAATCGCACAGTAAACAATCCAAGGCAGATTTGTAAGAGGTGATCGTCGTTGTACCTTTGTACAACCACGTCACTTCTACCACGCGATTCCGAAGGGGTGACACCCCCTAGGTTTTGGACCTTGTCCTCTCCAAGGAGGACCTAATGGTCGACACCTTGACCATAGATGCACCACTTGGACGTAGCTATCACACGTTGTTGCTCTTTCGTTACACCTGTTACTCGGAGTACATCAGTGTGAATAACGTGGAAACCAATGTAGTTACACATTACGATATGCTGTCTAAACTAATTCGAGAAGCCGACTGGTCCTTCCTGGCCGAGAAGCCACCTGATGTCGCCTGAATGTTGTTCGTCACCCAATTCACTGAGCTAGTGGCAAATGCGTCAGAAAGCAAGCTCCTTTGCCCGAATCAGGTGAATTGGTTCCTAAGGAGCCGTACTAGCAAATGCATGGCCTTAAGGGATTCAGCGTGGCGCGCTTACAAAGTGCGTCCAAGTAACCTGACCTGGGGTGCTTAGACAAACATAGACAACCAAACCCTACCTCAAGTTGATCTGTGAAGATAAACTGCAAGGACAACAGAACTTAGCGGCGAAATTCGACACAAATCCCAAGTTGCTGTATAGACAAGTCAAAATGCTCCGCAGAATATAGCGTGGGATCCTGGTTTTACTTACAACAGGTTGTTTTGCGCAAACTGCACAAGAGGCAGCCAACATGCTTCGCCAACACTTCATCCATACTTTCCGGAGTGAATCATCATTTCATTCGCATTTGACACAGCTTGCATCGCCACCAGGGTTAAACCACGTATCGTTCACTACAGCCAATGGGATGTAAACGCCAATGTCATTGCGCGTGCTCAGCTTACTTGGCGTGAGCGACATCAAACCGAAATCCTTGAAGACAAAAGCCATTAACCTTGCCTAAACATTAGCTCGATTCTTTCAACTTTGTCACGACGAAATGCAGGTTCCGGTAATTTGGAAACATAGACTAGTCACTCCTATTTACAAAATTGGTAATCCTTCGGAGCCCTCGAACTACCGTG